GTTCCCCTTTTACCCACTCGCTTCGGACTTACGGTAGGCTGACTCGGACTCGTTTTGCAGACAACATGGTCACCGGTACTTTCACCGTCCCGACCCCCAAGTCCAGCGGCTCCGGCACCGCCTCCGCTTCCGCTTGGGTCGGTATCGACGGTGACACTTGCGGCACTGCCATCCTTCAGACCGGTGTTGACTTCACCGTCAGCCGCAGCGGCGCCGTCTCGTACGACGCCTGGTACGAGTGGTACCCAGACTATGCCTACGACTTCTCCGGCATCAGCATCTCGTATGTCACCAGCCTACATCCCCATTCGTGCAAAAAGGAGCAGACTGACCATAGAACAGCGCCGGTGACACCATCACGGTGACCGTCGATGCCTCGAGCACGAGCGCCGGCGTAGCCACGGTCGAGAACGTGTCGACCGGTCAGACGGTCACGCACTCCTTCTCACGCGAGTCTGCCGAGCTCTGCGAGTACAACGCCGAGTGGATCGTGGAGGATTTCGAGAGCGGCGGTGCGCTGGTCAACTTCGCCGACTTCGACTCCGTCACCTTCACCGACTGCTCCACCAACAAGGGCGGCGTCAGCGGCTCTACCATCATTGACATCCAGCAGAGCGGCCAAGTCCTGACCGACTGCTCCACCTCCGGCTCCAGCACCGTCACCTGCGACTACACCGGCTAGGTGTTGGCGTCTACGGCTTTGCGTCGAGACGGCTGGGGGATTTCGGGACGCCTCGCAGTAGGGAGGCAGCCTTGTCAGCCGTCAGATCCGTTAGGTAAATGTGGAGGGGGCGGTTTTATGTCCACTTTCCGGAACCAAGCCATGGGTTGAGCTCCTGCTCTCCTGATAATTTTTGTACATACTATGTTTGGATAATCGATAATCTGTCGAGATACTAGCCTCTCTCGTTATGTTCTGCCGCCCGTTACTCCGAGACGATGCGGGCCCTGGCCCAGCAACGCACCCGTCTCCACGCATGTGGTTGATATTGAGCGCGGGAAGCCATGTCATGATGCGCCCCTCAGATACTCCGGCCCAGACACCCCATGGCCGGGAAGGGTACAACCCAATCCTCCCACCTACTATTCGAAAGGAGATGCAATGCTACGCATCGGCGAATTCCACTTCGCCAATCGGTACATCTGCCTCACCGTCCCAGTATGCCTGCGCTTCCAAGACTTCTCCATTGACACCGAAGCGCCACTCATACTTGAAGTTGTAGCGCTTTTTGTTTTTGAGGAGACGCTTAACACGTGAGGGAAGTCGAAGTTTTATCCTGGCATGCTCCTCCACGGTGTCGTCGTCTGCCCGAATAGGGGGGGGGTTGCTTCTCCCGCAGGTGTAGACGGGTCTGGATCCCAATGCCTTGTTCTTGGTCAAGACCATCTCGAACTTCTTGGAGACCTCGGTGCAGAGATCGATCTTCTGGCCCTTCTTGATAACCCAGTCAATCTCCTCGTGTGCTGTCATCCATTCCCCGCGAGTTCTGTCCCACCACCGGTCCGCCTCGGCGTGCCTTCCTGGGTCCCATCGCGGTCGATACAGTATTCCGTAGCTTCTTCGCGCTATTCTGGAGTCGATGCACCTTGTGCCGGTAGCGGTCGCCAGGACAGCACCGCGACTGATTGCAGACCATCTGTTCCCGACGTTTGTCAGCGTCTTCCGTAAGCGGGTCTGTTCGGCACTCACGCGTATCCGTTCTGGGGCTGCACAACCTCGAGCCCCTTGTTCTCGAATTTGTCTTCCAGAAATTGAAAAAGGTATGGGGACTGACCGAATCCACCGACTAAAAGGAGTCGAACCTATCATCATGTCAGGTCACGTAGTTGCGCTTGTGTCGGTTCGGTAGAGACCTGTGCATCCTCATCCTTCTCGGGCATGACTGCGTCAATCTGCGCCTGCACCAGAGCATTGATATCCGGCTGTACTGTATCGAAGCATCGTCGGATATCATTGGCGCTCAAGTAATGCGTGCCCAATAGGCCAAGGTCGATTTCGAAGGCGCTGGGATATTGGCTTCCCTGGAAGGAGCGTTTAATGCAAATATCCCAGCCGAATCTTAGCGGGGTGCTCTTCTGGGACGTCGTGAGGCGGTTCCACTCGTGTATGCCAACCTTCTGTATGAGGAGCTGCTCGAACGCCGTGTCGACGCGTACAGCACCAGCCAGAGCCCCTAGGTTGCTGTCGGTTAGAACACCGAAGAAGAGATGGATCCATGTGCTGAGATTCGAATACCTTGGCCAGGCCCACATTCCTCCATCAGGGGATCGAGTCCATGGATTGCCGCTTGCTTCACTTTGTAGGGAATGGCGTCCTGGTACCGTAGGGTAAGAGCACAGCGAGGGCAACATTGTCGGTGCTTGGAAGCCTGTACGTACCGCGGTGCCTCCTGAGCACACCCGGTCGGTCAGCATACGTTTAACTGCACACGGGACAAAGCAAAGATGAGCTGGAGTACAGCGCCCACGCACCTCCAACGTCCAGTACGATCAAGATATCTCCCGCTATTTGGATGGGAAAGTCGCCGCGGTTCGTCTCGCGGTGCATCAAATCAACGGCAGCCGCTTCCGGTTCGGTCATGAGGGAGATGCGTTTGTCTTGACCGACAGCACGCTTCGCGGCCGATAGCATGGCCTCTCGTGCGTAGCCAGGCCATATGGCAGGCACTGTGAAGCAATACTGGATGGGGATGTCTTCTGGTACTTTTCGATGCTTGTGGAGCTGCTTAATAGCAGATTCGCACAGGAGACGGACTGGACGAGTCGCAGGGGTGGTCAGTTGCTTGCCGATGCAGGAACCAGTTCAGACCCCGCCCTCACTATGCACTCACTGAAGTCAGCCATGACATCCTCGATACCTTTCTCCATCTGCACCATTCTCTGTCTGGTGCGTTCGAGGACCCGGTTGCTCTTGAGCTCGTCGGGCAGGTCTCGCGTCTTGAGCAAGAGCAGCTTAAACCATTGCAGAGGTTCGACATCGGCGGGAACTCGCCGCCCCCAGTCAATCCCGCCATCTTCACGGTAGTGTATCCGGGTCGGGACTTTCTCATCGGTGCTGTAGTTGGTAACGTCGCTCTCCCAGTTAGCGATGACTCTGATTTCGGTTATTCGAGCCTCCGGGGTCCCTGTGGTCTCCGCACGGCGCATGGGTACATAGCTAATGCCAGACTGACTATGGATACGGCCATGTTGTCAGCTTCGGTCGTGTGTACTGGCTGTAGGGTGCGCAAGGCAAGAGTACGAGCCAGTGGACTAGCTCACCTGACACCGATGTCAACCCCCATTAGCAAAGAATCGGCCATGCTGACATAGACCGAAGTACGCCGGTGTGATGGTTAATGGCGGCGGCGGTGATGGCGACTGATAAAAGGAAAGCATGCCATGGGAAGGTGGAGAGGAGCAGACTTGATGTCCTGTGTCCTGTGTGGCCGAGACGAAAGGTGCAGGGAAATTGCTTTCACCTTCGTACCTACTTCTTTCCGCTTCTCGATCTCTGCATAACCCGTACCTTCCGCACGATGCAAACACTCAGCTCACCTACCGAGTACATCACCCGCCACGCTGCTCCGACGGAACACACGCACTCCCCGACGCCCATTCGCCCCTTTCAGTCTTGTCCCCAGTGTCCAGAAAGGGTGGTCACGTAATCGTCCGGAGAATCCGAACAGCGGTGGGAGGTACAGCATGCCGCACAACGAGAAACCGCGGCTCGAAGCTCTGCATGACCGTGAAGCCAAAAATCGGGTTGCAAGACTCGGCTATTTGATCCGAAACATGGCAGGCCGCTACTTCGGTGAAGCCCGGCCTGCCCCCAAGCCATGGCCCGAGATAACAGGGTTATTCGAGAACATGAGTGACTCCTATATGAGCTATCTCAGGAACAAACCCTTTAATGATAGTAGAAGGACTTTCTTCGAGGCAGCCATATGGCGCGGGATCAAGTACCATATCCTAGACAGCCCCCTCACCATTCTCGACGAGCGAGGAGGCAAGCACCTTTCGGACCTGCAGTACCGAGTATTCAGTAAGTATATACGTGGCGTCGGAGTGTACATACCGGTAATGCTGCGCACGAGAAGCCCCGCTGATACTTTGCAGGAGATCAGCCCCCGACATTGGAATGCCCGGGTAGTCGGAGATGGGTCAAGAATTTCCAGCGACGCCGAGTACAGCGTGGGTGGTTGCAGCAGGATTTACGAGCCAGTCCAGATCCTAAGGCCATGGAAGACATCACCCTGGACATGGCCAGTTGCTTCAAAGCTTGGGCGAACGTCGATGATGAGAACATACTCAAGGCTGAATTCGCGTGCATCACGGAGGAAGCAACGAATCTGGCGGTATCGATGACACGCTGCAGGGCACACTACGTCTTTTGCATGGCGGAGACCATTTACAGCGACAAGCTGCACAGCTTCGAAGGCGAGGCCTGGGTGGAAAGCAACGATCGTCTGCGGAGAGGGGGTGGAAATGTAAAATTACTGATCACCCCGGGCCTTCTTCGATACGGCAATGCAGATGGAGGTGACTACAAAAGCCCCGTGGTGGTGGTGAAGGCCAGATGCGTCCGGGAGCGAAGGGGACGTAAATAGAAGACAGGCCTGTGGACGGCACGTGCTTGTCGGTAAGCTTTACAGGTGTACCTCGGACCTCCTATGGCGGTAAATGACCCGGGAGGGTAGATCCTGGAACCTAAGAAGCACATTATTATCCAGTTGCAAGGACTTCCACTGGAGTGATGCGCTACGTGATGCCCGTGCTTAGTCCAAAGGCAGCGAGGAGGTGTGAACGGGGGATCGATGGATGAGGACTGAAACAGGATGCGACAGATCGAGAGTACTAGAATGTGAGAAGCTCTTAATGCGACAAAGTCAACATTAAGACCATGGTGTGGGTGAGAAAGGCGTCCAAAGATGGTGGTTTGCGAAAGAATGACGAAATGCGTTGTGGCTTGATATAGAGAGCGAGATAAGTCATTAACCTGTTCAAATCTATCTAGGATCGCTGAGATGGCCGAGTGGTTAAGGCGGCGGTTTTAAGCTTTCCAGCTTCCACACCGCTATCGAAAGATGCAAGGGTTCGAACCCCTTTCTCAGCATTAGTTTTTGGATTTTTTATTCATATTTATAAATATGAGCCTTTTTTTTCTATTGTTAAAGGCTAGATTTTAAAGCCTTGGTCACTATTTAGCTGTGTTAAATAGGGCTTTGACGTGGTTATAGCACAGGTTATAACGTATATATCTGTATATTAGCCCGTATAAGCTGCGCTTAGCGCAGCTTATATTTTTCTTTTCTTTTTATTTTTAGATTAGCACTTTAGCTAGGCTATACTTAATACGACCGCTATTCGGCCTAAGCCTTTTATAATCCAAAGATCTTTTTATAATGTTTTATAGGCTGCGTTATTGCTAATTAAAGCATCGGTCTCGTTCTTTGTCCAGGAAAATATACTTAGCTAATGTAATAAAAACGCTTGTTTATCAACCGCGCGTAAGCTTTTTAAACCCCGATTTTTTAAAAAGTGCTTTTAACGTTAACATATAAAAGCTTTTTATCACTATTAAGTTATAAATCAATGGTACGTTTATCGGGGACGGTTTCGCTTAGTTTTATTACGTATATAGCCGTTATAGCGTGTTAATTAAGTCTAAGTAGTTATCGTTCGTTTAAATATGTATTAATACTATAACGTACGACTTTTAATCTTTTATTAACCGGCTTATTTTATAATACGAAAAACTAAATAAGGCATAAAAAGCTAATTAACGCTTAATGAAAATGCAACAAAGTAATACCGCTATAAACGCGTATTTCTCGCGTTTTAAAAAAACTCTCTTTCGCGCTAATAGCCACCTTTAGCCCGATATAGCTAAAATTACGTTATTGTCAGGGCAAAGGTTGGTAACAAGGCAAGGCTCGTAACGTGTTCCATTTACAAAGAGAAAATAACAAACGTGAGGAAAGGAAAAGGAAACCACCAATAAATAGCTACAGCCGAGAGGTGGTATAAGCCCTAAGCCGCAGGCCCCTCCTGACCGCTTACCCGTTTAAGTAAGGCGGTTGGTTTCTGCCTAGCGCGCTACCGGGCGCGCACCTCTGCCTATCCCTTTCCTTATCTATCCTATCTATATATCTAATCTGCTTATCGTCAGGCTATCGTGTATGTGCTGTCACTATGTGTGCCGTCACAGCGGTTTTTTTTAATTATAATAAGAACCGTGATAATTAATTATTTATGTATGGTTTATTAATAAGATTACCTCTGACTAGTTATTTTAGTAATGGTTTATATAAAGTTTTATACGTTAGTTTAAATATTAATTTATAATTTCCGCTTATCTTATTATCTTGTGGTATTTAAAAAATCTTAGGTTTTATTTGATACCGAAGATTTTAACTAGTTTTTAGGTGAAAAA